TTGGGCCATCCTCCACTGCACTCCCTGGCCACAGCAGAGAGCTGGCCTGGAAGAGGGGCAACCGGGACAGAATCCGGCGCCCCGACCGGGACTAGAACCCGGTGTGCCGGCGCCGCTAGGCGGAGGATTAGCCTAGTGAGCCGCGGCGACAGCCTCCAAAACACATCTTGTTATATTTCACACAACTGTCAGAGGCTTTTGAGTCTAGGGGGGAAAGTGGCCTTAAGAATCATAACATGTACATGAAAATTATAAATATATGGAAGGAAGCCAATTTGGTAATGGCAGTAATCAGCTTTTTCCCATGTGTAGTACTGGTGTCTTCTTACGTACAATAGAAATCTGGGTCCTGATTACGTTCTCTTTGACTAAAACAAAGATGAAAACTAAATTTGTGGCTCAATTTTAACAACAGAGTAAGACCTATGACCTGAATACCAAGGGACTTCAAAAAGTCTGTGGAATATAGAAAGAAAAAATTACTTTAAGGGCTAGCGCTGTGGCATAGTAGATAAAGCCGCAGCCTGCATGGCCGGCATCCCATATGGGTACCTGTTTGAGTACCGGCTGCTCTGCTTCTGATCCAGCTGCCCACTACAGCCTGGGAAAGCAGTAAAAGATGGCCCAAAGGCTTGGGCCCCTGTACCTGCAAGGGAGACCCAGAAGAAGCTACTGACTCCTAGTTTCAGATCGCTACAGCTCCAGTAGTTGTGGCCATCTGGAGAGTGAACCAGCGGATGAAGGATCTCCCTCTCTCTCTTCCTCTGCCTCTCGGTAACTCTACCTTTCAAACAAATAAATAAATCTTAAAAAAACAAAAAAAGCACTTTAGTCTACAAAGACTTTGAAATCCATGCATATTTTAGAAGGGAAAAATTTTTCCATGAAGTCTTTTTTTGGAAGGTTCCTTGCCTTCCTTGCTTTGAAAGGCAGAGTTACAAACAGAAAGGGAGAGACAGAACCAGCGATCTTCCATCCAGTGGTTCACACCCCAGATGGCAGTTCATGGCTGGGGCTGGGCCAGGCCGAAGCCAAGAGCATCTTCTGGGTCTCCCATGGGTGGCATGGGCCCAAGCACTTGGGCCAACTTCCTCTGCTTTCCTAGGCACATTAGCAGGGAGCTGGATCAGAAGTGGAGCAGCTGGGACATAAACTGGCACCAGCATCACAGATGGTGATTTAACCCACTATACCATAACGCAAGCCTATTTCCATGAACTTTTTGAAGACAGCTTTTGTGGATTTCAAAATTTTCAGTATGCCACTCTACTATGTATCATTCATGGTCCTGTATTATTATTCTAATTGTCAAGTTGTGATGCACTTTGAATAATCTAAGCTTTTTTTTTTTTTTGACAGGCAGAGTGGACAGTGAGAGAGAGAGACAGAGACAAAGGTCTTCCTTTGCCGTTGGTTCACCCTCCAATGGCCGCCGCGGCCGGCGCGCTGCGGCCGGCGCACCGCGCTGATCCAATGGCAGGAGCCAGGAGCCAGGTGCTTTTCCTGGTCTCCCATGGGGTGCAGGGCCCAAGCACCTGGGCCATCCTCCACTGCACTCCCTGGCCACAGCAGAGAGCTGGCCTGGAAGAGGGGCAACCGGGACAGAATCCGGCGCCCCAACCCGGACTAGAACCTGGTGTGCCGGCGCCACTAGGCGGAGGATTAGCCTAGTGAGCCGCGGCGCCGGCCCAATCTAAGCTATCTTAAATGCCAGGGAACTAACACGGGGATAAATCTTCCCCTCCCCATATTAACCATTCTCATATTAATGCCTCAGCTGAGCCATGGTTCTTATAACTGGAGAAGGGGCTGTGAGAGAAGACCAGAACTTAGAAATCCTCAGAATGTGACAATCCGGACACAAAGCTGACTAGGTGAGCAGCAGCAGCCCTCCAGCACAAGTTGCGTGTATTCACAGAAAGGCAGGTGTACTACAGTCTACTCACCCCCCGCTCTTACCCCAGCCTTGCTTCTGAGGCCACAAGAAAGAGGAATCCAAGCAGCAAACACACAACTGACTCTGATACACAGCACAGCACATTCAGAGTCCCACCGAGGCCCCTCCCTCCCTGCATGAAGGAAGGAGACAACACTAAATGAGCCATCACTAAAGGAAATGGCATTGTGGTCTCCGCCAGCCAAGAAAAATCACCTGAGTGAACTAAACACCAGAGTGACTGAGAAGTCGAGACTGGATTGCAATCAGTGTGCAGGAAGCTTGGCCTTCAGAAAGAACAGTAAACCACTACCCTAGAGCAAAGAACATCATTTCTCTTGTGACACTACCTCCCCAGTGGCACTGACTCAACTAATAAGAGCTGGGCAATTGCTATTATAGAAACAGAATTATCTATTTCACCAAGGCCGATTTCTAGTACCTAGGTTACCAAGTTTGATTAAAACAGTGAGGCAAACTGCAGCCTTTTAAGCAAAGAACAGGGAGCACCAAACATCACTTGCTAAATCAATATGAAGTGTTTTGCCACTCAGAAGTAATGATGCCAGGAGGTAACGATTTCCTGCTTTTGTAATTGCTCTATATCTGCATAATCACACTGCTATCAGGTATAATAATATGCCAGCAACAGCCTTGCACAAAACTCGATTGCCTGATAATTTATAATATATTCAGAGATCAATGAAGCATCCTGTTTGTACAGATACAACATCCTTTTATGTAATATTCAGTGAAAGAAAAAAGATATAAAATGAAACATCAGGATTTCTAAAGGATAATATACATTCCGTATGATTTTTACTTGAACGTATAACTGTGCCCCAAAAATGGTGAAGTATTTATCATAAAAAATAATCACTCAAGTGGTAATTCAGTAAATAGTTAAAATGCAGATGCTAAAATGCCAAACAGATTAATAAGAATTAAAGATGCACCACTTGACTTGGTCAGCAGGTTTGACCCCATGCAATACTCCCTCCCTTCTTTAAACCCTTGTTTCCCATGACTTCCCTAACACGAGATTTCTGTTTGTCCTTCCCTGCTCTCAAGCTTGGTTCTTTTTGTCTTTTGCTAGCAATTCTTCCTGTGACAGTACATGAGACCCTCAAGGTCTGTCTCAAGTCTTTCCTCTTTCCTCATTCTGTATTCTTTCCCAAAGCACATCCACAACACAGTTCATCTGTCCCCAGTGTGCATATCATTCGCAAATCCATCTTCTCTTTTGAATTTCAGATCTTTGAGATACAACGACCAACCTGACCTTTCCTCCTGGGTGTTTTCCATATGTATAAAATCTCCTTTCCTGTGCCTTCTTCCACTCACCTTGACCTGACCAGTCCTCCTATCTCACCAAATGATGCCACCAGCTCACAGGCGAACCAAGCAAACTCTGAAGATGATTCTTAACACCTCCCCTTTCACCTGTCCAAATCTAGCTTATCCTTATTATTCAATGTTAAGTACCATCTATTTCACCTTCTCAATATCTCTGAAATGCATTCTCTCCTGTACCTGTAAAACCTTACTTCACGTTACAGTCACGCATCAAGCATTCTATCACTATAATAGCTCCCTAACTGATCGACATTCGTCTGCTGGCTTCCCTAATACCTTTCCTCAGCACAGTAGCCGTGTTGCTCATATTATCTCCCTCTCCTTCTGGTGTTCTTAGGAAGAAGCCAAGCATCCTTGCTAGAGCCTCCCTGGTCTCGCTGGTCCTCACTCTGATCTCACACGACACCCCAACTCCCAGGGGTCACCCACACCGTCCTCTGGTAGAGCCTCCGACTCATCATGTTCCTAGTCCAGGCTCCTCCGCACTTACTGTGTTGCACATTTCAAAAATGGCTGCTTCCTCCTAGTACTGAAATTCACTCTGGCTTGATTTATGCCTCAGCTTACATGTGATTTCTCCAGGAAAGGCTTAACTATGCCAAATTTCCTACTGGACTCTCTTTTAGATGGTACTTGTCACAGTGTTAGTTTTACATTTTCCAGTTTCATTTGTCTCCCACTGCAGACCATAAGTTTCTTGACAACTAGAAAGCCTGCTTGTGCTCACCATTGTAACCCTTCGACTTAGCAGACAACAGATTACCAATAAAAATATTTGAATGAATATATGAATGACAAGTGAGCTATCCAATTTAAGGTTGTCATTACATAAAAACAAATACTAACACACTATTTTAAGAACACTGGTGTATTAAAGACATACTTTTTTTTTTTTTTTTTGACAGGCAGAGTTAGACAGTTAGACAGTGAGACAGAGAGAAAGGTCTTCCTTCCGTTGGTTCATTCCACAAATAGCCGCCACGGCTGGCGCTGTACCGATCCAAAGCCAGGAGCCAGGCGCTTCTTCTTGGTTTCCCATGTGCGTGCAGGGCCCAAGCACTTGGGCCATCCTCCACTGCCCTCCCGGGCCACAGCAGAGAGCTGGACTGGAAAAGGAGCAGCCAGGACAGAACTGGCACCCCAGCCGGGACTAGAACCTGGAATGCCGGCGCCGCAGGTAGAGGATTAGCTTAGTGAGCCACAGTGCCGGCCAACATACATATATTTTTAATGGATTTATTTATTTAATTAATTAGAAGGCAGAGTGACAAAGATAGAGATAGACAGAGAGATCTCCCATTCACAGCTTCACTCTCCAAATGCACACAACAGCTGGGACTGGGCCAGGCTGATGCCAGGAGCCAGGAAATCCATCTGTCCTCACACAGGTATCAGGGGCCCCAGCTCTTGAGTCAGTATCCACTGTTTCCCAGGCTCATCAGCAGAGAGCTGCAGCAGAAGCAAGTAGCCCAGACTCAAACTGGCACTCTGTTAGAGGATGTGGGCATCCCAGGTGAGTGCTTGACCAACCATGCCACAACACTTGCCCCAAGTATTGAAAATACATAAGGCGAGAACATACCAAGATACTATTCTATTATAGCTGAGAAGGAAAGCAGGAGTTGAATTTTATCAACTCCAAGATTCTTCTAAAATAGTATGAGAAGAAAGACATGGAAATAAACTTGCATATGAATTATGCGCTTACCCACTATCGGTGAACAGGAACTCCAAATGGGTCATAAAAACTTCCCAGTGGGAAACACTGTACCGTTGTGCCAGAGAAAGCGCAATGCTGTAGACATTTTCCTCCAGGGTTCTGCAGCAATGTCCATCAGCACCAGAAAGGGAGGGAAGAGAAACACAGTTGCTTACTCAGCAAAGAAATGCTCATTAGGATTGCTCTCTAGCTGCAAGGGGGGCAGTGAGTCAGTGCTCAGTGAGACATTTGACAGCAATTCAGGAAAAGAACTTCCAAGGAATTTTAATGCTTCTTGTTCACTGTGGTGCATTGCAACTCACCAAGGACTTGCTAGGCTGGTGGTTCTCAACCATGAATAATTTTATTCCCCCAGAGACATCTGACAATATCTGGAAACATTCTCACAAGTAGGAGGAAAGGGAAAATGCCATTGGTGTCTAGTGGGCAGAGGCCATTACATACATCTCAGCACACAAGACAGACTTGCCATGACAAAGAATTACCTGGCCAAAAATGTCAACAGTGCTGAGTTTAAGGAAACTCAAGTCTGGACTCTAGAACTTACAATCAAGAGAGTGCATCTCTGCCCTATGCAGTCAATGACAGGCTTAGTTTAAGGAATGGCATCACCAGATTTGAGAATCTCTGAATATATAAGCGATTTCAAGAAAACGGTCCAGAGCACTTACACTGGAAAAGACTACTGCAAGACTCCTATTTCCAGAGTAGGGAAATGGAGTATGAAATTCTTGGTCTAAAGAATTGGCAAAACCATAAATGCAGAGATGAAATCTGGTCTTGTTAAGCAGCACTGCTGAGTCTCTATTTCACCTGGCTAAGGAAGCCAGGGCATTTTCATAACTGGTTAGCCAGAGCTTGTTATGCACTTCCTGTAAAGGATCACACGGCAAATACTTCATGCCATGTCACCACATGCTCTATAGCACAGTCTTCTCTCTCACCAATCTTTAAAAATGTAAAAGCCCTTCTTTGCTTGTGGGTTATAAACATGGAGGCCAGGAGCCGGCTCAGTGGCTCACTTGGTTAATCCTCCACCAGCAGCGCCGGCATCCCATATGGGCGCTGGTTCTAGTCCCGGTTGCTACTCTTCCAGTCCAGCTCTCTGCTGTGGCCCGGGAGGGCAGTGGAGGATGGCCCAAGTCCTTGGGCCCCTGCACCCACCTGGGAGACCAGGAGGAAGCACCTGGCTCCTGGCTTTGGATCAGCACAGCGCCATCCATAGCGGCCATTTGCGGAATGAACCAATGGAAGAAAGACCTTTCTCTCTGTCTCTCTCTCTCACTGTCTATAACTCTACCTGTCAAATAAATTAAAAAAAAAATTTAAAAAAAAAAAACATGGAGGCCAAGGAATGGATTAAGATTGTCAAACCATGAATGAGGTCATGGTCAACTGAAAGCATTAAAGTACCTCCACAAAATGGAACTGCAGCTCCCAAAGAGTAGTGACATTACTCACTCATCCTTTCTATTGCTTTGCAGAGGCAAATGCTCAACAAGTATTGATATCTTCTCCACTTTTAAAGGGAGGAAGGAACAAAACTATGTTGTACCCTCTTTAAAGCTACCCTTCCTGACTCCTGAGAATGTTAGTTAAGACATGTAGACATAAGACAATAAAGGACAGATACAATGCACTTTCAAAAACAACTATTAACATAGATATACAATGAGTAAGAACATGGCCTCATGCACTCAACTGAAGGTAGAGCTGAAAACTGGGAAGAAATTGGTATTCTTTTTATTTTTATATTTTGCCAGGCAGAGTTAAACAGTGAGAGAGAGAGACAGAAAGGTCTTCCTTCCATTGGTTCACTCCCCTAATGGCCACCATGGCCAGGGCTGCGCTGATCCGAAGCCAGGAGCTGGGTACTTCCTCCTAGTCTCCCATGCAGGTGCAGGGACCCAAGCACTTGAGCCATCCTCCACTGCCCTCCCGGGCCACAGCAGAGAGCTGGACTGGAAGAGGAACAACTGGGACTAGTACCCAGCGCCCCAACTGGGACTAGAACCTGGGGTGCAGGTGCTGCAGGCAGAGGATTAGCCAAGTGAGCCACGGTGCCAGCCCAAGATTTATTTATTTGATAGGCAGAGTTACAGAGAGAGAGAGAGAGAGAGAGAGAGAGATCGATCCTCTATCTGCTGTTTACTCCCCAAATGGCCAAAATGGCCAAAGCTGGGCCTATCTGAAGCCAGGAACCAGGGGCCTCTTCCAGGTCTCCCACATGGGTGCAGAGGCCCAAGCACTTGGCTCATCCTCCATTGGTTTCCCAGGCCATCAGGGAAAGCTTGATAACAAGTGGAGCAGCCAGGACTTGAACCAGGACTCATATGGGATCCTGGCACCATAGGCAGAGGCTTAATTTACTACGCCACAGCGCCAGCCCCAAAATGGGTATTCTCGTATGCAAAAATCCCATTTTCTAATCAGAACCACCAAAGCAGCAAATGCACAGAAATTTTGAAGCATGTTAAATAAGTCATCCAACGACTGTTGTCTATTTTTCTAAGCAACAGATTGCAGAGAAAATTCTATTATATATTTATCAAAAGCATATATATTTGTCCTCCAGGACACGCTTCAAATAGCAAATAAAGGACAAAAACTCTAGCAAAATGAAACTGATGATATAAGACATCCTTTACTTTATAAACTTTTATTCTGCATAATAATCCTCTTCTAAGAAACCACAAACATGGAACCAAGGACTACAAAATTCCCAAAGGAAACACACACTGGAACTGGAATTAGGAAACCAAGACTCAATTCCTAGCTGTGTGACCTTGAGCAATTCTTTTTTTTTTTTTTTTAAGATTTTATTTATTTATTTGAGAGGTAGAGCTACAGAGAAGAGAGAAAGAGAGAAGTCTTCAATCCACTGGTTCCCTCCCCAGATGGCCACAACAGCCAGAGCTGAGCAGATCCAAAGCCAGGAGCCAGGAGCTTCTTCCGGGTCTCCCACGTGGGTGTAGGGGCCCAAGCACCTCGGCCATTTTCCACTACTTTCCCAGGCCATAGCAGAGAGCTGGATCAGGAAAGGAGCAGCGGAACTAGAACTGGTGCCCACACGGGATTTTGGCACCACAGGTGGAGGCTCAGCCCACTGTGCCAAGGTGCCAGCTCCAAGCAATTCTTTAGAGCTCTCTGGTTCTGATTCTTCTTCCAAAAAGGAAAGAGGTTGGACTAAGTGATCTCTTGGGTGATTTTCAAACTAGACCTTAAATGACTTGCAAATTATGAACCTCCAGGAGAACAGAGAAATAGGAAAAAAATGTTCTGTCTCTTATTAATTGAGACTAACTTTAGGCTGTTCCTACTACCTTTTTTCTGATCTCCCTATGCCTGCCCTTATTTTAAAGTAAAACTTGGACTGTCAGATTAGAAAAGAAGTTCAGGCTAACAAAATTATCAAAGGGTACCAGGGTTATTTTGCTACTTCCTCAAGGTTAAATGGTACTGATGAAAATACAGCATATGCTACTATCAGAATCAAGACTGTCTTTGTTATTTTAAAACACTTTATCAGTAGAAAGGAATACCTATGAAAGATAGGCACAATTTAACCTTTAAAGGCTAGCAGTCTAGACTGAACGCGTGCCAGTGCTTCCTGAGAACGCAGCAGACTGTACAGGAAGGCTTGTGGCTCTGTGAGGATGCATTGGTTTTAATATGCGACAGTTCCAGACAAAAATCAGTTGTGATTTTTGCCACTTTTGGAAACCTGGGTCACTCATTTAATATCCCTAAGCATCAATTCTTTTCAAGTATAAAAGGGGGATAAAAATATTTTGTCTTATAGAGTTACCTTTGAGAATTAAATGATTGTTTTAATGTTTATAGATCACCTTATCAACACTTTGCTCAAGGTAAACTCAAAAAATTGTAGAGTTAAAAACAAAACTTTCTACTTAATAACCCACTAGGGATGAGTATACTTTCCTGCCATCTTACACATTTGTATTTCTCAACTGGTTTGATCTATGAAAACAAACCACAGACTCTGGTATTAAACCAAAGCAAACTCTTTATCTAGAAAACAACTCCACCAACTGGGCCTTGAACCATACTGCCATCTCACACAAAGATGTGCCCTTTTCTTGAAAGACGAAGGGACAAAAAGGAAAAAGGGTAGTTGCAACTAGCTTGTGACAGGAGACACCACCAGAGCTGCTTTCTAGTTGTCCAAGAGTGATCAAGGGTCCTTGAATCTGTAACATGGAGTTGGCCTCCGGCACTAAGTCGGTTGTACCTAATATTCAGCATACTGAAGAAACTAAATTATTACTTACTTCAAAAAATGACATTTCCAGCCAGGAATAAAAGGCAATCTTATTTCTAAATTTTTATCATAAGTTTTATACTTTTCACCCCGACCATGCCCTATTATCCTTAACATGACCATAATCTTGATATTGACTGTCAGAATAATGGGAAAAATCTCAGTTTTGATTTAAATCTGCTGGTTCAAAGCACTGCCTCTGTCCTTCCAGGAAGACACACACACGCTCTGCACGTGACTGGGAGAAGTGGAGGACAGCCTGTGAAGGCAGTTATGGATATAAATCTGCAAAAGACTGTGATTAATAGTCCTGATAATTCACGCTGTTAATATATATTTTAGATCCATCCCCTTACAGGACAGAGGTGTCCCTTACTCTGCCAGACCAAGGATAGTTTCTCTTTTATACTGGTCATCTGCAGTGAACCGCTGCACATCAACACCCTTCCGCAGGCCCTGAAGCAGCTGAGCCTGAGTGAAATCCAGGAGACGCTCATTGTAGTAGTGTAACTGCTTGGTCAGCAAAACAAGGTCCTCGGGCCAGGAGTCTTGTCCATGTTGAGTCACGTGACTGGTGACAACCTTGATTAGTTCCTTAGGGTCAGCCTGCAAAAGGCAAGAAAAAAACATATCTCATGAAAATTACACAAACATGAGCAGGTTAAAGACCACCACAATGGGCACCTGCATTGTCCTGCACACTGCAAAACCAGCTGCAGAACTGCTGCTTCCCCCACCCCGCAGACCACAAAGAGAGGAGGCAGAATAGTCTACAAACAGGTTTCTGGACTTCTCTGTTCTTCTTCTACCTCATGTTTTTAAGATTTATTTATTTATTTATTTATTTGAAAGTCAGAGTTACAGAAAAAGAAAGAGAGAGAGAGGTCTTCCATCCACTGGTTTACTCCCCGGATGGCAGCAAAGGTTAGTGCTGGGCTAGGCTGACCCCAGGAATCAGAGCTTCTTCAGGCCTCCCATGTGTATGGCAGGGGCCCACTCAGGCCACCTTCTGCTGCTTTTCCTAGGCCATTAGCAGGGAGCTGGATCAGAAGTGGAATAGCTGGGACACAAACCAGCACCCATATGGGATGCCAGCATTGTAGGCAGCAGCTTCAGCTGTTACACCACATCAGTCCCCGTCCACCTATTTTTAAAAATTTTCACCTACTAAAGGACATTTGGGCGGAGCCAAGATGGCGGAATAGTGAGGGTGCACACCGATACTTTGGGAAAAGATAGTTTAATAAAAGTGGAGCTACGGTAGCCTCAGGAAAAGGATCAGGAAAAAATTGCAGAGGAAACTCTTCCGGATCTAGTGGATCTGATACGGAGGACCTTCGGGGAGAGCAAGGTCACTGTGGGAGCTGAGCCACAGAGTCTGTGCACCAGCGCTGGAAGAGGAGATGAGAAAAAGACCTCGGTACCCCGAGACATTGGCGGGGAAAGGCAGAAAGATCCTACAGAGAACAAGGCCTGAAACCCCACTGGGGAAAGTTTACCAGGCTGACTGGAGGAGAGAAAAAATCGAATAAATAAGGGGAACCAGCATGGACATTAGCCTCTCTCTCCACTCGCCTAACAAAGCCAAGCAAGACAAAGGGCAGGCGCCATTTTACGTATGTAAAGCGGCACACACCATTTTGTGTATGTAAAGCAGCGGCACTCTTTAGCCAAGCGGAAAAACCTGACTCTGGTGGGGAGAAATAACAGGAGGTTAACACTTAGTGAAAGTGTGGAGCTAACGAACTGAGACTGTGAAAATCTGAGTGGGGGAGGGATGAACTCACGGAGTACACAAACTCAGTAACCTGGGCAACCTGGTAAGAGACTATAGAGAAATTTGAGACCACACACTGAGGGCTACATAAACTCTTTGTGTGGTCCCAGTGATAAGCAGAAGAATACCCACAGGGGCCAGATTACATACATCAACTACTCTCAATTCCACTCAGCTGTGTGGAATTACTTCCCAACTGAGTCAAAAAAAAAAAAAAAAAAGAGAGAGAGAGAGAGAGAGAGAGAACAAGCTAGACAAAAATCTGGGTGAGTCACCTTTGGCACACCCTTACCCCTGAAGAACCAAACAGAGCTCTCTGGCCACACCCATCACAGCCTTTAAGGATCCATCAAAAGCAGACAGTCCACTTAATGCAGAGTCATAGTATAACGAGAAAAAACACCACACTGAAGAAACCAAAGAATATCTCCAATATGCCAAACAACAAGCGCAAAAACCAAGGTAACAAGAACAAGGAAGACACTATGACAACCACAAATGAAATAGACACCAAAATTCATATTATGAAGATGAGGAGATAGAAGAAATGCAAGAAGCGGATCTCAAAAAATTGATAAGAACATTAAGAAGTTCTCTAGCCGGCGCCATGGCTCACTAGGCTAATCCTCTGCCTTGCAGCGCCGGCAGCCCGGGTTCTAGTCCCGGTCGGGGCACTGCATTCTGTCCCGGTTGCCCCTCTTCCAGGCCAGCTCTCTGGTGTGGCCCAGGAGTGCAGTAGAGGATGGCCCAAGTGTTTGGGCCCTGCACCCCATGGGAGACCAGCAGAAGTACCTGGCTCCTGCCATCAGATCAGCGTGGCACGCCAGCCTTGGCGGCCACTGGAAGGTGAACCAATGGCAAAGGAAGACCTTTCTCTCTGTCTCTCTCTCACACTGTCCACTCTGCCTGTCAAAAAATTAAAAAAAAAAAAAGGAACATTAAGAAGTTCTCAAAAACAAATTCTTGAACTACAGAAATCCTTAATGGACAAGATAGAAAATCTTTCTCGCAAAAATGAAATATTAAGGAGGAATCAAAATGAAATGAAACAACTAGTAGAACATGAAACTGTGATAGTGAAGAGAAATCATAATGAAGTGAAGAATTCAATAGATCAAATGACAAACACATTAGAGAGCCTTAAAAACAGAATGAGTGAAGCAGAAGAGAGAATATCGGATTTAGAAGATAGAGCACAGGAAAGTATACAGTCAGACCAAAGAAAAGAAGAGGAAATTAGAAATTTAAAAAATATTGTCGGGAATCTTCGAGATACTAATAAAAAAACCCAACATTCGGGTTCTAGGAGTTCCTGAAGGCATGGAGAGGGAGAAAGGATTAGAAGGCCTTTATAGTGAGATAATAGCAAAAAATTATCCAGGTTTGGAGAAGGACAGAGAAATCCTAGTACAGGAAGCTCATAGAACCCCCTAATAAACATGACCAAAGGAGATCCTCACAACAACACGTTGTAATTAAACTCACCACAGTGAAACATAAAGAAAAGATCCTAAAACGTGCAAGAGAGAAACGTCGGATTACTCTCAGAGGATCTCCAATCAGACTCACAGCTGACTTCTCATCAGAAACCCTACAAGCTAGGAGGGAATGGAGAGACATAGCCCAGGTACTAAGAAAGAAAAACAGCCAGCCCAGAATATTATATCCTACAAAGCTACCATTTGTGAATGAAGGTGAAATAAAGACCTTTCATAGCAAACAGAAATTGAAAGAATTTGTCTCCGCTCATCCAGCCCTGCAAAAGATGCTTAAAGATGTGTTACACACAGAAACAAAGAAACACGGTCATCAATATGAAAGAAGGTAAAGGAAGGAAACCTCACAGCAAAAGATCACAGGAAGTTCAAAACATATATTAGAAAATATCTTTAGCAAATGGCAGGGCAAAGTTACTACTTATCAATAGTCACATTGAACGTTAATGGCCTGAACTGTCCAGTTAAAAGACACAGATTGGCTGACCGGGTCAAGGAACAAAACCCATCTATTTGCTGCTTTCAAGAAACACATCTTTCCAACAAAGATGCATACAGACTGAAAGTGAAAGGCTGGAAAAAGATACACCATGCCAACAGAAATGAAAAAAGAGCGGCGTAGCCATCTTAATATTGGACAACATAAACTTTAACACAAAAACTGTTAAGAGAGACAAAGAGGGGCACTATATAATGATTAAGGGTTCATTTCCACAGGAAGATATAACAATTATCAATGTATATGCACCTAACTACAGGGCACCGGTTTATCTAAAAGATTTGTTAAGGGACTTAAAGGGAGACTTAGACCCCAATACAATAGTACTGGGGGACTTCAATACTCCACTCTCAGAAATAGACACCTCAACAGCACAGAAGATCAACAAGGATACAGCAGATTTAAACGACACTATAGCCCAAATGGATCTAACAGATATCTACAGAACTTTTCAACCTACACAGAAAGCATTTACATTCTTCTCAGCAGTACATGGGACCTTCTCTAGGATTGACCACATACTAGGCCATAAAGCAAGTCTCAGCAAATTCAAAAGAATTAGAATCATACCATGCAGCTTCTCAGACCACAGTGGAATGAAGCTGGAAATTAGCAACTCAGGAATCCCTAGAGCATATGCAAACACATGGAGATTGAACAACATGCTCCTGAATGGGTCATAGAAGAAATTTAAAGAGAAATCAAATACTTTCTGGAAGTAAATGAGGATAACAGCACAACATATCAAAACTTATGGGATACAGCAAAAGCAGTTCTCAGAGGAAAGTTGATAGCAACAGGTTCCTACATCAAGAAACTGGAAAGGCACCAAATAAATGAGCTTTCAACGCATCTCAAGGATCTGGAAAATCTGCAGCAAACCAGACCCAAATCTAGTAGGAGAAGAGAAATAATTAAAATCAGAGAAGAAATCAATAGGATTGAATCCCCCCCAAAAAAAAAAAATTACAAAAAATCAGCCAAACGAGGAGCTGGTTTTTTTTTTAAAAACAAGCAAAATTGACACCCCATTGGCCCCACTATCTAAAAAAAGAAAAGACCAAAATTAATAAAATCAGAGATGAAAAAGGAAACATTACAACAGACACCACAGAAATAAAAAGAATCATCAGAAATTACTACAAGGACTTGTATGCCAGCAAACAGGAAAACCTACCAGAAATGGATAGATTCCTGGATACATGCAACCTACCTAAATTGAACCAGGAAGACATTGAAAACCTAAAAAGACCCATAACTGAGACAGAAATTGAAACAGTAATAAAGGCCCTCCCAACAAAGAAAAGCCCAGGACCAGATGGATTCACTGCTGAATTCTACCAGACATTTAAAGAAGAACTAACTCCAATCCTTCTCAAACTATTCAGAACAATCGAAAAAGAGGGAATCCTCCCAAATTCTTTCTATGAAGCCAGCACCACCTTAATTCCTAAGCCGGAAAAAGATGCAGCACTGAAAGAGAATTACAGACCAGTATCCCTGATGAACATAGATGTAAAAATCCTCAATAAAATTCTCACCAATAGAATGCAACAACACATCAGAAAGATCATCCACCCAGACCAAGTGGGATTTATCCCTGGTATGCAGGGATGGTTCAATGTGCGCAAGACAATCAATGTGATACACCACATTAACAGACTGCAGAAGAAAAACCGTAAGATTATTTCAATAGACGCCGAGACAGCATTTGATAAAATACAACACCCTTTCATGATGAAAACTCTAAGCAAACTGGGTATAGAAGGAACATTCCTCAAAACAGTCAAAGCAATTTATGAAAAACCCATAAACAACATCCTATTGAATGGGG